TTTGTCATCTGCTATGGAGGCCCAGCCGATATTCTCCATTAAAAGAATAGAAGAAAAAAGGTACTTGTCCTCCCCTATAACACCATCTACTGTTAGATGACATTAGATAATAATTAGGGATTACTATGAATTTTCTTAGCAACGATAATGGTGTTGTTACGTACATTTTTAAGTTTGGAATGGGATACTTAATACATGAAAATTTCTAGACCTCACCATCCGTGTTTTGTGGAAAGGCAAGCTGTGTTTCAAAGCCACCCAAACAGCGCAGTCAAGGGGCCCACAGCTAGAAACTGGGAGAAAGGAGAATGCAGTTACGTGTTCAGCTGGCAGGGTCTCAGCCAGGGGTCTCACCAGTCCCTGCTGGTCGCCAAGCACCCACTCGGTTTCCTCTGCAGGCTAAAACGAAGAACGCAGACCTGAAGATGCGAGTGGTACCTCGGTTACCCAAACCCACCTATTTCAGGAAAGAAAACACCTGGAGGCAACTTGCTTGGGGGAATCTGCTTCCTTATTAAAAATAAATATTTACATTGAAATACAGTTAATTTAGTAGCTTCCTTTACATTTTCCCACTTGGAAAGGAGCCACAAGGGTTTCCTTCATGTTTTCAGCAGCTGCATTGCTCAAGATCCCGTTTCACAGGAAATGGATTACATTCAATTACTCCTCACGACAGTCGGCTGGAAGATCACTCCATTACTTTTGAAGGACTGGTTGGGTTGGCATCTGCAATGGTAGCCAAATAAATGAGATTTCTGTGTAACACATGCTGGTACCTATGGGTGAAAAACAGCAAAAATTACACTTTTGTTTTTACTGAATATGAACAAACAAATGCAAGAATTTACCTGCTCTAGTGGACGGCTCACCCGCTGACCAGATGATTCAGTGCTGTCAACCTTCTTGTTTAACACATTCAAGGAAAATATGTCCAGAATCTTAGCTTTTCTCACTTATTTCCATCACTACCTCCATAGACCAAGGCTCTATCACTTCTTGCTTAGACTATGGTACTGGACCAGCCTCCTGGCGGGTCCCTCTGCTCTACCTCTGCTCTACCTCTGTACCGGTGTTCTGCACATCAGCAGCCTGAGTGATCACTGTACAGTTTAAATTAAGATCATGTGTTATGATCTTAATTTAATACTGTTTAATACCTTCCAAAGCCTCCCATCTCATTCTAAGTAAAGCTGAGCCCTTTTCATCACCTACAAGGCCCTACAGGATTGGAGCCTCTAGTTACCTCTTGGATCTCATCTCCTGCCACTTTCCCTTTGGTCATTGAGTTCTGGCCCCAGTAGCGTCCTTGTTGGCGCTTCAAGACATCCAGCACACTCCCATCTGGGGGCTTTTCCACCTCATGCTCTGCCTCACAAACCTGATAGCTGGCTCCCTTACATCAAGTATCTCTACTCAAATGCCACATCAGAGGTACCCCCTATAAAACAGCACGCTTCCGCCCCCTTATCCTGTTTTATTCTTATTCAAAGAGTTATCAGCATGTGCCTAATTACATGATTTCCCTCCTCTAGATTCCAGTGTCTGGAAGGTAAGTTCCATACTACCAGAACTGCTGTTTGGGTAGTGATTCCTCAGTAGCTGAAACAGTGCCTAGTACTCAGTAGTAGTTAAAAATATCTGAGCTTAAAGCAGGGATGAACTACTTCCACGTGAACTTCCTAAAGCAGCAATTCTCAATCAGGGAGTAGAGCCCCCTTCCCAAGAAGAAAAGTCAGATCAGAGGGCAGGAATCATTTGCTTGTGCAATGAGAAAAAGCCCACTAGGAGGTTCTGGTAACACTCTTACCCATAAGTTGAGAATCGCCGCACCAAACGAAATGCTTTGCAACTATTTCCATACAGAAAAGTGGGTGTTTACTATAAATTGTAAAAACTCAATTTACCAAATGCTAGAGTTGAATGTAAAAACTTCCCCAAAGTGGTTATCTCGACTATTTCACTGAGCTGTTCAGTAGGGGACTGTAGGTGATCTTTAGGGGGTGGGAAATGCATGGCTTTCTTAAACATGACTTTAGTAACGATGAAATAATGTATTTCTCTGTAACAAATGGGGCATAATTCCTGGATGACATTTAGAAAACAGACTATTTTCTCTCATTTTGATATACAACTAGAAGGCACATTAAATTACTGTGCAGAATTTATCTCTGGCTTAACTTGGAACTCTTTCACTGGTCTTTGTGTTACAAAGGAACATACACAAAGGGAGGGAACTTAGCAACTAAACTGTCTGACTCCCGCAACTTGGAAAAAGGATGGGCCAGGGAAAAAGGGCCCGCAAGAAAGCAACCACCACGCCCATCTCCTTAGACTAGTTTTCCGCGGGCTTCCCTCCCCATCCCCGTTGTCATCAGCTGACGTGGCTTCACGTGAGGAAGGCTTTGCAATGAGCACAATTCAAGTTTTGAAGAAGGTGCCACAACTGACTCCAGGCTTCTCAATGTACCGTCCCATGGTCTTGGGCAGGTGAGCAACGTCTCCGATCCTCCTCTGCAAACAATCTGCCCAAACTACTAGTTCAGGACAGCCCCTGTATCTCCACAATGGCTTCTCCTCCACTCAGAAGTAAGGGGAGGGAGTTGGGTACTCACTGGACGCACTCATTCGCCCGGCCTTTGTTCTGATACTCCACGATACAGCGGATCAGCTGGTCATTCTCCTCCAGGAGCTGAAACATCAGGGAAACTATCAGTGCCACATATGACATCAAGACGTTAAGTAACCTGCCCAAGGTCTCACGGCCCAATACTGTCCAGACCCGGCGCGTTCGCTTACTCCTACCCCTAACAGTCAAAGCCCTAGGCACCAGTCTCAGCTGGGGCACCGCCCACTCCAGGAAGCTTCCAGGGCCCGCAGCCCTTCGGTTCACCACTACGAATGCCCTCCTCTTTGCGTTAGCGCTCACCCGCTGGATCGTCTCCTGGTTGACTTGCGCCTTGCCTCTCAGCCAGTCTGGTACGAAGGCCACAGACATTGCGGGAAGCCAGGCTGGAACCAGGGCTCAGGCCCGATGAACCCCGCGGAGCTAGACCACAACCACCCAGCAGCTCCACACACCTTACAGCTGCAGAACCCACAATAAGTGCGGGCTTACGCATTCCACGTTGATTGGATCCTCCCCACTTAGAAGGCGGGAACCGGCGGAACGTCGTTTGTAATTGGGCGCGCAAGAAGGACGCCGAAGCGCCTCTCTCGGGCCCCGCCCCTGGGCCCTTTGCGTTTGCGCAGTCTGGAAAGCTAACTTGGGGGCGGGGCCAGGCATTAGCTCCTTGCTTTAATCATACTGTGCAGTCTGTATGCGGGAGTGTCGGTCCCGGGGTCACTAGAGAATCCTGGCTGGAACCCAGATGTCTGGTTCCAAGTCCTCTCCTCTTTCGACACAATTCCTGTGCCTCCAGGCTTGCGTCTGGAGCGTGAACCCTGGGCATTTCATTGGGTCAAGCCAAAACCCACAGGGCAAAAACACTAGTGTGAGCTTTATTCTTTCCTGAGGGAGAAACTCACCTCTCTGCTTGTTTTTCCTTTGGGCAATGATAATGCTTTATTAGGCTTACAACCCTAAAAAGCACCATTATTTCCTCCATTTTACAGATGAGAAACCACAACTAACCTACTGAAGTTCTCATAGCTACTAAGGGCAAAGCCAGTATGTAAACGTAGGCAATCTGGCTTCAGAATCCTCACACTCTACCACTATCCTACACTGCCTATGCACTATTCTGTAAAAGTGGTTTGCTGCAAGATACAGGAAGAAAGCTGGCCTACGCTCCCGAGCCACGTAGTTACTGTTGGCAAAAAGTAAAGCTCTGAAACAGCCGTCTTCTAGTTTGTACAGCTCATCTACGGTGGGCAGAGGAACTAGGTTGGCTTTCCCTGCAGCACGGAGTGAGCAGCAGTCACATCATTTAGGTGCGAGATCTTGGAAGCCTTTACTCCTCAAAAGAGGTCTTGGGGGCAGTTCTGCCTCTTAGAGCTTCATTTCCCTGAGTGAAGGCCCAGATCCAAAGCAGGCTCGTCTGCTTTTGCTGGGAGTTCCCTCCACAATCCTTTTATTCAACCTTGCCAGGAAGCAGCTTTCATCCCATTTCACAGAGGGGTAAACCCAGTGAGAGAAGTGGGGCAACATGTGTAAGCTGGGCCAGGACTCAGGGTTTCCTGGTTCCCAGGTCTGTACTGTTACCCCCCAAACAGGCTCCGTTTCCATGGAAAGCTCCAAGAGCTTCTACAGAAAACAGTGAATAGAGGAGGAACCATCAGGAGCAAAGTGCAGGACAGAAGCTCCTCTCTGGAGTGCACATATCTCAGTGCGTATTTAATCAAACACGGATGTGTAATTGATGGGTGCTCTCAGTCTGCCGACCTCTTGTAACATAGTTGTTAGTGTCAGAAGTTCCTCGCTATGTCCACAGTCCCTGGCTGGCATAGAGCCTGGCACGTAGCAGGTGCTCAAAATTTGTTGAAGGCATAAATGGATGAACTCTGCTTTCTAATCTCCCCTCAGCTGGCCATCCCTCTGTGAGTGTCTCCTACCCAGACTGGGGTGTGTCCCTAGACTTTGGCACCTCATCCAGGCTGGCAGGAGGCTGTGCTCTTCGGTTTGCCTATCTCGGGCCTCCCAACCAGTGGCACGGACGTCGGAACCCACGCCCGGGGCGTGTCGCGCCTTCACGCTAAACCTCCTTGCCTCCGTGCGTCAGTCCTGTCTGTTACTCCTGCAGGAATCGAGTTTAGAGCGCGAAGCCTCCTAGCACCTCGCGACGTGGGAATTACAGGCGGATAAACCCACGTGGGTGAGAGCCGGGAGACGGGAAGGTGGGAGGTGCGAGTCCAGTCACGCCCCCTCCGCTTTAGGGTCGCAGCCCTTTAAGAACCCCTTCATTCCAGACGCTGCCGGGCCGGACCGTGGAGGCGCGCCAGGATTGGTCGCTTCGGGTGCGGGTGTTACTTAGCAGCAGCGAATGGAGGTTGAAAACTCGCGCACGCGCACCGCCGCCTACCTGCGCCTGGGCGGCCAGCGACCTGGGCCGGGTGCTCCCCGTGAGCTTAGATTGCAGAGGGGGCGGCAGGTGGCTCGGCGGCGCGGAGGGAGGCCGCTGATTGCCGGAGGCCGCCGTCGGGGCAAGGTGAGGGCCGGCGGGCGGGGGCGTCCCGTTAGCTGAGAGCAGGCGGGGTCGGGTGTGGCGCAGGGCGGGCCTGGAGGTGGAGGCGGTTCCGGGCCCGCCCCTCTCTCTGGCCCAGCCTAGCCCCCTGGGGCTTCCCGGGGCTTCCCGTAATCACCTGTTTCGATTTGTTCTGCGCTTTGCACTCCAGACTCCGGGACGATCTCAGGCGCGCACTTGCAGGAACCCTCAGCTGATGGATGCGCTTGGAGCGCTGCTTCCTGTGGGAGGAGACGGGGTGTGTCCAAAAGAGAGAGCGGGCGATTATTTCCTTAATTATCCACGAAGCTCACGTCAGAGTATTGTTTAGTTTTAATAGCAAACTTCCCTTAGCGTGCCGGTATTGTAAGACTTGGTTTACTACATACTGTATGCGCTACATCAGCTTTTCTGAACACCAGGTGTAGTAGGAGGGGGTGTGTACTTTGGGTCCATTGTAAGCTTACATCTAGACCTCCAGAGCCAGGAGGATAAAGCACTCCGGGGAGAAATTAGGATGGAATAAATCAAAGCCACAAAAGATATTACCCATAACGAAAAGTAGTTGGTGAAATCTGTGACATGGTCAGACCATTGGGTAGGATAAGTGTTCATTAAATTTGATACAGAAAGGAATTAATCCCAACAAAGATAATTTTAGTGAAACGAAAATATAAGTATTTGAAAATGATTTAATATTGCTAAACAGGATTAAAATGGACCTAATAGCATTTGCTCTGGAAAACACATCTTAGATGATGATGTTATAATGTGTATGTTTACACACAGGACATTTTGGGGTCCCAAAGTTTTTTATTCTTCAAAGAGCTTCAGAGGTCAACTGCATCTGAAAGGGGACTGACAGAGGAAAACTGGCTTTTTCAAAGGAACACAATGAGTAAAGAGCAGTTGTAACAAGTGAAACCCTAGGCCTTGGCTCCTATTAACAGGTCTCTAATTAGTGTTCCATATCAGCGCCCTAAGAGAAGGCATTGTTTTAGAGAAATAGTGTGGCTGTAATACCAAATGCTGGATTTGAGAAGCATTGAATAACACTATCAGCGTAAAAGTTCCTAACACAATGCTTGGCATATGATATTAGTTGCTATCAAGTTCAGTCGCTTAATCTTAGCTCTTAACAAATGACAGTTGACTTCCACCCTCCTCCCCAAACCACCCCCAAGCAAAGGGAAGGGAGGAGCCTGTGTGGTCTGCAGACATTAAAGTCCTGTAGCTGACGGTGAATCTGATCAGAGTTCACATTTTTCTTCTGTATTACGTTTATGAGGAGTGGGCAATGCGCCTTATGGTGAAAACTTGTGTTTGAATATTTGTGTGCCAAATGAAACTTGTTTTGCCTGTTTAAATTACTGTTTTGCAAGGCTTTGTCATTTAATATTGTGTTTGTCTCCCCTTTTCTTTCTCTCTTGGAGGGAGGGAGGAGGAGTGTATGGGGCAAGGATTTGGGAGGAGTTTTGAGTAAGGGGGAGAGGAAAAAACAGTGGGAAGAAGGATGGCCTAGAGCTAGGCACAAAGTCTTTGCTGGTAGAATAGGGGTCATCTATTTCATGAGCAGCTTATAAATAGAGCTGAGAAGAGGATTTAGGAAATGGGGAGGCAGGTTAATATTTTAATCACAGCTAGTAATACTTTGGGTGCCGTATATTTGATTACAACCCCACTTTCTGCTTTTAAGAAATTCCATGTATGTACACCTCTTTCTATTTTTCTCTCCAATTAGAGATTGACTGTGGGAAAATGTTCAAAATGCAGGGTGGGCAAAAGTAGATTTACAGTTGTGACTACTCGAAACATAGAGTTTATTCTTGGATTATTATTATTTATTATTGTGTAATTTTCCATATGAACAACTGTAAACCTACTTGCCCCACCCTGAATAGGTCAGAATATGGCAAGGTCTGCAAACCACATTTCTTGTTTCAGTGAGCAGAAATAAGGCAGCCTCTTAGGTCATCCATTCATTTGCTTAGCAGTTTTTATTGAGGGCTCCCTAATATGTCATAAGCATGGTACCAGGTTCAAGGTCCATTGGCCTATCAAAGGAGCTGTTAAGACCTAGAAGACAGACTCATGTTTCTGTGTGAGCACTCTGAGGCTGCTTTTGTCCTTGTGTAATTGATAATATATTTTTCTGTAAGTGTGGCATGATTTCCTGGATACATTGGGCTGTTTTCCTGTTTAAAACCAAAGGCTAGTTACCTGCAAACAGCTTTTATGTTAATGAGCCCCGAGGTGATAGTACCTTCCCGACTGAGAATGTTATGTAGTTATGCAGCCGCTCACTATAAAACACACCCCACAGTGTTCATGCATAAATCATCAGAACTACAGTTAATTGGAAGGAAAGGTTATTCTTCTAGTAGAGATACTGAAAAATGACATTTGAACATAAAAAGTCTGAGCATAATGTAAGTGGTATAAAGACAAGTTAATACTCTTTTTATCAGCGTTTAAAATACAAATCATTATAGTCACAAGAAGTTGCAAAGATAGAACATTTTACATAACTATCGTATAATATCAGGCCCAGGAAATGAACATTAATAAAAAGTGTGCATAGTTCTTTTCTATTGATTTTTAGAGATAGCAAGTGTGAGCAAGAAACATGGGTTTGTTGTGTCTCTCATCTGTGCACTCATTGGTTGCTTCCTGTGAGTGCCCTGCCCAAGGACCTAACCAGCAACCTTGGTGTATCAGAACAACACTCTAACCAGATGAGTCACCCGGCCAGGGCCAGAGTGTGCATAGCTCCCTCAGATCCAGATGCCTTTGGCCACCGTCACAATCAAGACACAGAACTATTCTGTCACCTCAGCAGTTTTCCCCTCGCTGTCCCTTTACGGCCACACCCACGCCCCACCTCCTCACCCTTGGCACCCACCAGTCACTGTAATTTTCCCATTTTGAGAATGTTGCATAAAAGAATTCATATATATGTGACCTTTGAGATTGACTTCTTTTTTTTTTCACTCAACTCAGTGCTCTTGAGATCCATCCAAGTTGTTCTGTGTTCCAACAGTTTATTCCTTTATGCGGCTAAGTAGTATTACATGGTATGAATGTACTATGTTTTGTTTAAAACCATTCATTATTTGTAGGACATGTTAGTTGTTTCCAGTTTTTGGCTGTTATGAATAATTGTACACAGGTCTTTGTGTGGACATAAGTTTCTGTTTCTCTGGGGCAAGTTTTTGGGAGTGTGATTAATAGATTGTTTGGTAATTGCATGTTTCGTTTCACAAGAAACTGTCAGACTTTTCCAGAGTGACTGTACCATTTTCCAGTCCTACTAGAAATGTGTGAGAGATCCAGTTTCTGCATGCTTGTCAGCATTTGATGTTGTCACTTTTAAAAATTTTAGCTGTTCTGATAGGTAGGTAGCATTATCTCATTGTAATCTTAAGTTGCATTCCCGTTAGTAGCTAGTGGTGCTGAACATCTTTCCATGTGCTCATTTGCCACCTGCGCATCCTCTGTGGCGAAATATCCCTTCACGCGCTTTGTGCATTTCTGGCTGGATTGTTTCTTTAGTGTTTGTTGAGTTTTGAGAGTTCTTCATAAATTCCAGATACTGTCTAGCGCACATGATTGAATGTATGGTTTACAAATATTTTTCTCCCAAGCTCTAGCTTGTCTTCTCACCCTTTTCACACGGGCTTCTGCAAAGCCAAATTCTGGATTTCGGTGCAATGCAGTTTGCTGGTTTTTCTTTTACGGAGTGTGCTTTCGGTGTCGTATCTAAGGCGTGTTCCCTAGGTTCTGAAGGTCTTCTCTCACACTGTCTTCCACTTTTATAGTTTTATCTTTTAACATTCAAATTTATGATACATTTTGAGTTAATTTTTATGTAATGCGTGAGGTTAGGTCAAGGTTCCTTTTTGCTGTAGATATCCATTGCTCCAGCACCATTTGTTGAAAAGACTGTCCTTCCTCCAATGAATTGCTTTTGCACCTTCGTCAAAAATCATTTGGCTGTACATGTAGGTACATGCACTGCTGTGTCTTCTGTTCTGTTCCAATGACCTATGTGTCCTTTCCTCTGCCAGCACTACACAATCTTGATTACTGTAGCTATATAATAATTTTATCTATATCTACAAACTCTCTTGTTGATATTTTTTATAAGAATTGTATTAAACCTACATATCAATTTGGGGGAGAACTAACATCTTTGCTACATTGAGTTTTCCAATCCATGAACATGGTATATCTCTTTATTTAGGACTTCTCTGATTTCTTTCAGCAATGTTTTGTAGTTTTCAGTATGCAAGGACTGTACAGGTTGTGTTCACACCTAAGTATTTTTTTTAAAGATTTTATTTATTTATTTTTAGAGAGGAAAGGGAGGTAGGGAGGGAGAGAGAGAGAGAGAAACATCAATGTGCGGTTGCTGGGGGTCATGACCTGCAACCCAGGCATGTACCCTGGCTGGGAATCGAACCTGCGACACTTTGGTTTGCAGCCTGCGCTCAATCCACTGAGCTACGCCAGCCAGGGCCACACCTAAGTATTAAATCTAAAAAATTATAGCTTTGCTGAGATCATTTTTTGAGTGATTATAAACGGTATTTTATTTTTGTTTCTACATGTTCATTGCTAGTATGTAAAAATGCAGTTGCTTTTTGTATGTTGATTGTTGATTGTATGTTCAATCTTGCTGAACTCCTTAGTTTAGAGAACTCCTTTTCGTCATTCTCTTAGGGCAGATACACTGGAAACACCTTCCTTTAGTGTCCTTTCATCAGAGTATATTTTAATTTTCCCTTCACTCTTGGAAGACATTTTTGCTGAAAATACAGAGTTCTGGGCCGGCAGTTCTTTTCTTTCAGCAGCGGAAAAATGTGCGTCCCTTTGGCTTCCATAATTTCTGTGAGAAATTTGCCGTCCTGGGGCCGGCTTTCCCCCAAAGGTAAAGCATTGTTTCTCGTCTCTCACAGGGTTTTCAGTGTCTGGTTTCCCTGAGTTTGACCACCACGGATGTGGGCATGCGTTCCTCTGGGTTTACCCTTCCTGGGATTTATTCCGCTTTTTGATTTGGGGGGTTTATGTCGTTTGCCAAATTTGGGGAGTTTCCAGACATTGTTTCTTTGAATACTTTTTCCGTCCCTCCCACTTTCCCCTCTGCTGCGGGAATCCAGTGAAATGAATGTCAGATGATTGGTTCTAGTCCCACGGACCCCGAAGCTCTCGATGGTGTTTCAAAATCTAGTTTCTCTCCGATTGTTCACATTAGGTGATTTCTACGTTCTGTACTCACGTTTACGGATTCGTTCTTCTGTCCCCTCCCTTACGCTGTTGAGCTCATTCACCGAGTGTTTTTCTTTTTTTTAAAAGATTTTATGTATTTATTTTAGAGAGGGAATAGAGAGAGAGAGAGAGAGAGAGAGACATCAATGTGCGGTTGCTGGGGGTCATGGCCTGTAACCCAGGCATGTACCCTGACTGGGAATTGAACCTGCGACATTTTGGTTCGCAGCCCACGCTCAATCCACTGAGCTACGCCAGCCAGGGCTCCGAGTGTTTTTCTTAATTCACTTCTTTGGTGTTGGTGTTGTTATTGGAAACTTCTACTGAGGCCCTTTCCTAAATCACTGGCTACCACCTGTGCAAAGGAATGGTTTTCATAATAACCGTGCTTCTAAAACTCCCCAGGTATCCACGGGCTCATCGACAAAAACAACCTGCAGAGCGCAGTGTGAGTGACGAGCCCCCAGGGCGCTGTGACTCACCCGAGTAGTGCACGCTCTTTCCCCGTCTGCAGTTCTCCCTCCCTGCCCCTCCCTATCTCCCGTCCATGGGACTCCAGAGGAGCACCCTAACACACATATCTCCCTCCTACATACAAGTTCAAGGCATCAGCGTCCTATCATCACTGTTGATGTCTGTGTCTTATCTCCCTCCGTTGCTGGCAGCCAGGACCTAACTGTTCCCGCCACCCCCAGAGACACACACGTGGGAACTCCGTCTCATTCACAGCGGCAGCCTCAGCACTTCTGTAGTGTCCAGCCTATAACAGGCATTCAGTAATTTCCGAATATTTGTTCACGGAATTATAAAATGATTTGACAGCTGAAAACTATGTAAGCTAATAATGGATAATTAAAACTATTCGCATGAAAATGCTACTAGTTCCGTGTACCAGTCAGGTTCTTTAGACTGGTGACGTGGTTCACAATGTCTGCTCTCTTGCGTACCGCTGTGGGATCTCCTCTTCCATCTGTGTCTTCGCCTGTAGTTGTCACGTCCCCAGCTTCCTCTGCCGCCCCAGCTGGGGCGGTGCCTTCTCCTGCCGCACCTCTGCAGGGGCAGAGGGCCACCTTCGACCCAGAAATGAAGCCAGACCGCTGTCCTCTCTCTCTGACCGCTGCGACAAAACCCCCACGAAATGGCAGTGTGTTTTTTTAAATTCTAAAACTTGTTTGGTTCTTTATACCTTCTATTTCTTTTTATTTTTTATTGGTTTCAAGTGTGTTTATTACTGCTTATTGAAGGGTTTTTATGATGGCTGCTTCCAAGTCCCAGATAACTCTGTCATCTGGGTCACGTTGGTGTTGGCATCGTTGATTGTCTCTTGTAATTCAAGTTGAGATTTCCTATTGAAATGTGGGCATTTGGGGCATTATGTTATGAGACTCTCAATCTTATTAAATCTTCTATTATTTTTTAAAGATTTTATGTATTTATTTTTAGAGAGAGGGGAGGGGAGGGAGAAAGAAAGGGAAAGAAACATTGATGTGTGGTTGCTTCTCAAATGTCCCCATCTGGGGACCCATCCTGCAACCCAGGCATGTGCCCTGGCTGGGAATTGAACCAGCAACCCTTTGATTTGCAGGCCAGTACTCAATCCACTGAGCCACAGCAGCCAGGGCAGTAGGGTTGCCTCTTGTATACACCCTGACTGGGGACTGAACCCACAGCCCCCGGGCATGTGCCCTGACCAGGGATCAAACCAGTGACCTTTTGCTGTGTGAGACGATGCCCAACCAGTTGAGCCATGCCGGTCAGGGCTGAAAGACAGTTTTTATTCATCTCAAATACTGTTGTTTGAGGAGAAGCAGGTTCGATCACCAAAAGGTTAAAATGGAAGAAGCAGAGGCTGGATGGCAAGTGGTAGAACTGGTTCTTGTGATTACTGTCCCTTGGGAAGGAAACTTTCCTTTTCATTGGCTCAACATGATACCCGGCGTGTCGGCGTGTCGGCGGTGCCCCGTAAAGATAGCACCGGAGGGGATATTCTGGGGCCGACGGTTGGGGTAAATGCATACCGCTTTCCCTTGGAAGAACTTACAGTCTACTCAGCTTCCAAAACAGTGTCTTTCTTATTTTGCCTTGGGTGTGTTTCTGTCCTGTCTCTCGTCCTGGTATCTCATCACCCGCTGCATTTGTTTTTAAAGCAAGCACTCTCCTTAGACACATCTTTATTACAAGTGTTCTTAAACACTTCCCTTCTTGCGTTGCAGAATGGCTCTCGCTGATGAACACCGTTCTCAAGGAAGTAGGCAAGTTGAAGCTCTGGTTTAGACCCTAAACCCTAGTCTCAGGCTGACCTTGTAGTCTCCCCCATCTCTTTCAGGGTTTTGTGCATTGTAACTTTTTTAAACATCTTTTTCTAAATGAAATATTTCAAACATTCACAAAAGTATAGAAGATAATGTTACTAACCTCCATCCATCTATCCATCCCCTGATGCTCTCTTTCTGATCCTAGAGGTCTCAGCACTGGCCAGGCAGCGACCACAGGCTGCCAGGCAGTACCACTGGCCTGGCAGCGGGGGGATAGCCCACAGGCTCGTCTGGCAATGGGCTGGCCCTGCCGATGGTGCGGGGACGATGGTGTGGGTGTATCTTCCTGGGGAGTGTCACATGTTTCCTCCCCAGTGTTGGAAGGTGTTGGGGGATAAGACAAGTGGACTGTGTAGGGTCTGTTGGCTGGTAAATTAAGTAATTTATCTTTTTCCCCTCTGTATATTTATACCAAGGCAGCTCCTACATGTGTAAAATGGGAATAATCATTCATTCATCCATTCGCGAGATGGTCTTTATTGTTAGAACCTACACTTAGGCAGTGGAAGTGACCAATCAGTAATCTAGAGAACGAGGAGGGAGAAGTCCTTCTAGCTGGGCGGGTCTGGGACGGCCTCACGGAAAGGGGAGATTGGAGACAGCATTTGGATGTGGAGAGACTAGAAGAGTGGCAAGTTATAGGCGAAGACTACACAGGGGTGACGAGAGCAGGGTGCGTCCTGGGGGCTCCCCTTTCCTCCATCTCACAGGAACTGAGATGCCAACTGAGGTTACACCCACAGAGTCCTTTGGAAGGAAAGCCCACCAGCGTGGGAACCCATTAACCAGCGTGGGTACCCAGCATCCTCTCCGGTAGAGGAACTGGTGAACAGGATCTGTGAGGCGAGATGTGCGGTGCACGGGCAGACCCGTCAAAGCCGCGATGGCCAGCTCACTAATCCCTGCTTGCAGGGCGGCCACGTGCACACGTGCGTGTCACGCCCCATGCAGGCACCTGCAGAGTCAACAGATGGGGCTACAGCCCAGCCGGGCTCTGCCGGCAGAACTGGTCCTACACACAGGAGCACCTTGTTCTGATTTGCCAAAGGCACCATGAGGGCTCCGAATCTGTTTCCCTTTGTTTCTAAATGGTGCCCACATATTAGGGCCAAATATTTAGTATCTTACTGTAATATAATCTGCTAAATGACTTCCTTTAACCATCTGTAGGAGCTCAGTCATCATTTTGAAGACTGGCTCTGTATCAGAAATTTGCAAAAATTCACGAGGACACACTAGACTCTCTCAGTTCCATTTTTGCCCTCTGCTGTCCTTACTACCTTGCTGCTTTAGGTTGCATGCTCAGAACCCCTGCTCTGGGGTGAGGGTGTGGCACCTGAACTGCTTAGCCCCTGCCTCCCTGGGTGGCCTGAAATGCACAGGTCATGGGACCCCATTCCTGCTGCTTCAGCGTCAGCTATGTCCTGGCCCTTTGGGGTCATCTTGCTGCCTGTGACCTGCCGCCCACTGTGACGGCTGTTGCTCCTGAGCCCTCCGGCCCTGCTTTCTGGCTTCTCCCTTCCTTTCTCCCTTATCCCGGCTGGTTTAACTCTGGAAAGGAGGATTGCAAGTACGGGAGAGACAGGAGGGTTAATGCAGGGGAAGATTGGGAGTGGCGTAGCCACAGAGGGCAGGGACATGATAATAGAAGCGGCATTTGCAGTTGTAGCGGGGGGCGAGGGTAAAACAGCACACGTTTCGAGGGCAGGGTGTCTCTGGCACTGTCGCCCGGTCCTCAGTAATAAGGTGACCTTGCTTCCCTCAGGTGTCCTCATGACTCCTCTTGCGGACCATGTCCCTGATCCTCTTTGCCTGCGTGGTAAGGGTGAGGGATGGACTGCCCCTCTCGGCCTCCACTGACTTCTACCACAGCCAGGAGTTCCTGGAGTCCAGGAGAAGGCTCAAGACTTTAGCCGTGCGGCTGGCCCAGTACCCAGGCCGAGGCTCTGCACGAGGACGTGACTTCAGCATACAGTAAGCAAGCAAACACGCTCACTTTTCCAGAATATCAGCCACGTTCGGGGTACTTTTAACCCTACATTGAGGTAACGTTACGCTCATCACACGGTGCGTTGAGAGTGGACCAGCCATCAGACCGTGGTCGGAGGGCGTGTGTCTTTACAGCAGAGTCGGGAGGACTCGCAGTGCGGCTGCCCTGCTGCTGCCTGTGTGGGTGGCACGCCCGCGAGAGTCGCATTGGGAGACCCGGCTTCAACCGGCTTTCATGCCTTTGGTTTTTCTGCACCAGGTGCAGCGGTGGAAAAAAGGGAGGGAGGGAAGGAAAAGGAGAGGGAGAAGGCCACGAAAATAAGAAAAAAAGACCTATAGTTCTTGTCTTCAGGTTTTGCTTTTAAAATTTTTTCACTTAAATAAATTATATTACAAAATTTTAATAGGGCCATGGAGCAGGGCCATGAAACATGAGCACACACAGGTTCCTTTTCTCAAGGAACTTAAAGCCGAGGGAAGGAACAAGAGACATACAGCTAAATACGATGGAGTGGGGACGTGCCCCAGTGGAGGCAGGAATCAGGTGGTTACAGGCATCACGGTAATAACCGCCAGCATCACTAAGTGTTTTCTCTGGGCCAGGCACTGTTATTACAAGTGCTTTCTGGGGCTTCCGAGGTAGCCGGCAGAGTCACAGCTGTTTGCAGAGGAGGAAACGGAGGTGGAGTGGCTCGCCGAAGGGTTATGCAGTTAGGAAGTGGCAGCGCCAGGGTTTGCGAGCCGGCCACCGGGCACCAAGGCCCGATGCACCCTCGTGTGTGTTACCGTTTCTTATTCTAGGGCTCGGAGCAGAGGGCACTCTACGGAGGCATTTATACTCCATTGTGCAAAAAACCTGAAGTACCCGGAACTTCATTTGAAGTCACAGGGTTTTTTTCCTTAACTGAGAAGGGGTTTCCTTCCTCCTTGAGGTTCGGCACCCAATTCCCAGGGATGTCGGGTTTGGAAATACCAAAACGGCTTGTTACAGATTTTACATCATTGTTTTCTAACATGTAGCCTTCACTTTCCAAGTCCCTTTTGCTCCCCTCAAACAGTGTTCAGTTTACCTGATAAGGTGGGGTCCTTTTAGGGCAACTCAGTCCCGTAATCAGAAACACAAAAGGGAAAGTCCAGGCCCGACTCCAGGCATCTGGCCGACTCCAGGCATCCGGCCGAGTCAGGTGAGAAGGGACCACCCCCGATGCGGGGGCCAGACAGCAGGCTTGTACAGCTGCCCCCCCCGCAGTGTGGGCTGGGGTGCTTGGGAGCGAACACAGGGCTCCGCTGGCCGGCGTTGGTGACCCCTTTCTCTGGGTGCCTGAAGCCGTCTTCCTCACGATGCGGCGATAACCCAACATCCCTGGGAACTGGGTGCCGAACCTCAAGGAGGAAGGAAACCCCTTCTCAGTTAAGGAAAAAAACCCTGTGACTTCAAATGAAGTTCCGGGTACTTCAGGTTTTTTGCACAATGGAGTATAAAATGTTCACTACTCAAAGTTTGAATTTAATATTCGTCATTTTCGCAGAGGAAAACTGAGACTTTTCCCCTTACAGGTGAGCCATACCATGAGCTTCTTTTGTGGTTTAAGGAGTTGAATTGTTTTCCAAGGGTTGCCATGACAGGTCACCATAAACTGCCTTGAAACAACGGAACTTTATTCTCACACCCCGGAGGCCAGAAGTCTGACAGCAGCGTGCCAGCAGGGCCGTGCTCTCTCTGGCCCCCTCTGGTGGCCGCCAGCAGCCCTTGTCATCCTGGGTCGCCCAGAAGCGTCACTCCAGTCTCTGCCCCGTCGGTTACTGGGCTGCTTCTTTCTGCCTCGGTGGCCAACATCCACACCAGTCACCGGACAGAGGCCCGCCCCGATCCGCTGTGGCCTCATTGTATCCCGATTCCGTCCGCCAAGACTGTTTCCAAAGAAGGTCACATTCACTGGTGCTAGGGGTTAGGGCTTCAGCGTATGTTTTGGGGGGGACACGGTTCAGCCCACACGTAGGGGTCATCTTTCCAATAGAAACACCTCCCTCCTAGAGAGACTTGGGTCCTGCTGGGAAATTCCTTGTAGAAGGAGGAGGTCATCCTTTTTAAAAATCGAAAACATGTTCTGTATAAAGACTTCCAAGTACAAGAAGGTGGTAGATCCGTAGAACCTAAAATGACCTCCTGCCAGAAATACCCAGAAATGTGTGTAAATATTTACAAAAGTTAAAAAAAAAATGTGTAGCTGAGCTTGAGAGAAAGACACCCCAAAGTACTGAAATCAAAGGAGGAACAGAATGTCAAGGGTGGTACGTGGGTGAGCTGTGTCACAGTGAACCCAGGGTTTGAGCCTCAGCACCGGTGAAGGGCCAGGCCTTTGAGCTTGTGTGGAGCGAGGTGTCGCAGCAGGACCCCTGCGGCGAGGCGGGGCTCTCGTCCAGCTACAGCCCCGGTGCCGTGGTCGGCGAGAAATGGCCAGCCCGCCGGCACCGGGGATCCCATCTCTGTCTGGCTTTGAATGGGAAGGGAAAAGAAAGTCTCACCGAAGAAACGGAAACCCTGCTGCTGTGCCTTGTGTCGGGCTGGAGTTTGAGTGTATGCTCCCTACTCCCCGAGGCCTGGGAATCCCCAGGCCAAGGCTCACAGGTCGGCGTCCGCGCCACACTGATGATGCCCGTGGGGCCGTGGGCCCAGGCCCGTGCGGAAGCCTCTGCACGAAGTGTGCTGCGCGTCAGGCCTCCAGGGAGAGCACAGGCGGCACGGGGAGGAGCCCTCGGCACAGGTGGCGGGACCCTGGAAGGGCCAGTCCACAGCGAGTGGCAGTCAGCGGGCACCACAGGTAGGGGGACTCGAGTCCCCAGAACTTGAAGTGGTGGCGCGACAGCCTGAAAGGACTAGGCTTGACTTCAGGATGCCAGGGTGATTCAACGTTAGCGGATCTTTTGACATAGATGGAGAAAGAAAAACATTTTCCTTTAGGGGGCAGAGGGGTCTGAGGCCGCTTCGCTCTCACGGAACGCGCGTCCTCTTGTATGAAGAAGTAAGAGTGATCACACACGGCTGACGGCTGATACGCTGTGCGTTTTAGAGGAGGTGTGAGGCAGGCACGGTCCTGGGCAGGTCTAGCTGGGGACGCAGGTCCCGGGCAGGTCTAGCTGGGGACGCAGGTCCCGGGCAGGTCTAGCTGGGGACGCAGTCCGTGCACAACAGACGGCTCCAGGGCCGCTCCAGGCCGAGCGGGTCTTGAGAGCTGAGGCAGCGCTGTGTCTGGGTGTGGGCTGGGAACCCGTGGGTCCGTCCCTGGTGACGTAGATGTGGCCCTCTCGTTTCAGCTTTTCTTCGTCGGGGGATGTGGCCTGCATGGCGATCTGCTCCCACCGGTGTCCCGCGGCCATGGCCTTCTGCTTCCTGGAGACCGTGTGGTGGGAGTTCGCGGCTTCCTTCGACGCCACGCGCGTTGGCCTCGCCTCCAGGCCGTACGCCTTCCTCGAATTCGGTTTGTGACCCTCTTTTGCGTTCGCTGTTGGCACGTGTAGCTCTGTAGCTTAGCTTTCACTTTGCCCGTCAAGGGAAGGCATTGGAGGGGGCAGCAGGATACGCCTGGGGAGCAGCTGCGTGTCCTGAGATTTCACAGCGAGGGAAGAGGCCTGGAACCCTCAAGGTCTAACTCCCTGGCCTGTCGTCCCTCCAGCCCTGGGGGCAGGGGCCAGCAGACTGCGGCGCAGGGGCCAGCACCTGGTTTGTGAATGGCGTGGAACACGGCCACATTCAGTCCTTCCCGCGTCGCCTGCGGCTGCTGTGGCCCATCTCCAGCAGAGCTGCGCAGCAGTGTAACCTATCAACCTAAAAGTTTCACTATCTGGCCCTTTAAGAAAATTTCGCCAACGCTGCTCTAGAGCTGCATGACTCAGAAGGTGTGTGTGTGGACTTGTTCTTTAATCATTAGGTAAATATAGAAAGTAAGAATAAGTACTTAGAAGTTCTTATAGTAATTTGACATTCCTACACTCTATATCAAAGTGTCAGTCTGCAAGCGTTTAGAAATAAGGAGAAGCCTGGAGGTCTGAGAAGCACCGCTCTGGAAGAGGATACTGCTCTCTAGGTGATGCCAGAGGCCTGGGTGGGGGGCGCGAGGGGGCTGTGGAACACAGCGTGACAATTAGAGCGGAGGCACCGTTCCCAAGTGCGAGCCTAGTCACTCTGAGCTCTTGGGAGGAGGGGACGGCCGGAGTTGGAGGACACCTGTGGTCTCTGTGTGAACAGCTGCCGTCTCCCTGGTGCTGCTGAGGGAGCAGCTGGCGGCACTCGGTGCTGGGGGTCAGGGCCGGGCTGGCGCCGAGGAGAAATATTTCCACCGACGCCTCAGGCTGCAGCCATGGCCCTCATGGTCTGCCATAGCCCTCAGTCCCTCGTGTGGCCTGTCGGGGAACCGGCCAGCACCCTCTTCTGGTGTCACCTGAAGGTGCTGGGGAACTCCCTGGTACGCAGGCCCCAGCCTGATAGACCTCCTGTGACAGAGACGGAGGGTTCCGCCCCCGAGTCTCCCCGTGAGTGCTACTCAGACAGCTGCCCGCGGCCCACCGTCCTCCTGCGAAGAGGGCAAGCTCTCCCCAAACGGGTGACGGCTGCAGGGTCGCTTGGCTGCCATTTGATGTGTAACTGGCGGCCTGTGTTCTTCTCTCCCCTCATCTGCACGTGCCTCCCTTCTGAAGCCGTGTGCTTGATCCGATAGGAGGCCCTTCCCGCATCACGTTTGCGTGTGATTGGCTAAGAGTGGAATGTGAGCCCTGGCTGGTGTGGCCCAGTGGACTGAGCGCCGGCCTGCGAACCAAAGGGTCCCGGGTTGGATTCTCGGTCAGGGCATGTGCCTGGGTGGTGGGCCAGGTCCCCAGTAGGGTGTGCTGGGGAGGCAACCACACACTGATCTTTCTCTCCCTCTCTTTTTTCCCCTCCCTTCCCCTCTCTAAAAATAAATAAATAAAATCTTTTTTTGAAAAAGAAAAGAGTGGAATATGAGGAAATGTACAGTGATATTAGAATTATGTATGAAACTTTGCTCCAGACACTTATTAGTACTTGGCAGTAAATTAATACTAGCATGAATAAGAGAATTAATACTAATACTTTCCAACTATATAATGCCAGTTTGCACAACGTATTCATGTTCATTGGTAATTTTACACTCCTTTTCTTGAGAAAACCCGGTCAAGAATAACTGTCCCCCGTTTTTAAGCTTAGAAATATTCTGTGAGTTGCTTGGGATGATGATACTCTCGCAGGCGGCTGAGCTGAGAATGGAGTTGTCATCCCCTGACCCCCTCGTCACCGAGGTCCAGGGACAGGTTGTTGCCTTCTCTGTAGATGGCCCGTCGCATTGTATCGGCTCTGCCTCGACAGGTGGGCGAGACCAGTAACGACATGTAGTCATCATCTGACCTTTGTGTATGTAGCTTGATACTCCTGACTTAGCCTGCTTGGAAATGTCAAGTTCATTTTGTACCTACTGTCTTACAACATCCATTGTGATAGTACGCCCGCTTGGGTTGCTCTCTCTTTGCAGACAGCGTCATTCAGAAAGTGAAGTGGCATTTTAACTGTGCGAGTCCCGCTCAGATGAAGAGCAGCTTAGAAAAGGTCCAGGAGGAGCTGCAGCTGCAGCCGCCGGCGGTCCTCACCCTGGAGGACACGGACGCGGCCAACGGGGTCATGAACGGTCACGCGCGGGTGTGCTCGGAGCCTGGTAAGGGGCCTGCCGTTCTCCGACGCCGATGAAGATGAGCGGATGTTATGTATCTCAAAGGGTCATTGGTTTCTTTTATTAGGAGGGTGTTTTTTTTAGGGGGGTGTATAAAATATGTGGGGAGAAATATGGACCGATGTTGTTTCCAGGCGGCTGCGATAAAAAACTTGACCATTATGACAGTGAGTTGGTCTGAGGGGAGGCGACTCTTATAGTGAAGTTCAGGAGGAGAGTGACGTGGCAGATTGGTCCCTTAAGCAGGGGGACGTCTAGAGGTTTACATGTTATAAAGCAGAGCCTTTCTCTTTTGCTGGGAGCCACTTACACAGGTTTGTACATCCGTCTTTATCTACCTGTTTTTTATCCGTCTCTTTTCCTTCGACGATGAACCGTTATCTCATCACTTACTGAAACACTGCAGGTCTCCACCGAGAGCCCCCGCCCTCCTTGATGGAGGGAGGGGAGAGCCATGGGGTGAGTGTGGCTAGGGGCCAGAGCCAGGGCTTCCGGTGCCGTCACCGTCACCGTCTGGCTCTCCCTGAGGCCTGGGGACATCCCTCCACCCTGGCGGCAGGCAGCTGAGTCTTTACCTGGAGAGTGAGGTGTTCGTGAGTGTGACCGCAGGGCCCCCGAGTTCTGTGCCTTCGTCTGGCATTGGCCGCCCAGCCCAGCGTGTGACAAAGCATGGGTGTTGGCATTCCTGGTTTACAATGACCATCAACCCAATTTTAATTGAAGTGGGCGTTTATATTGTAAGAATTTTGTAATGGTGTAGAGCTGAATTTTGCTCTGAAAGCAAGAGGTGTATACTATAACTACCTAACTATTTTAACTCTTTTATACTAAACTGACTGCTTAAATGTTAAAAATTCTATAGGTCATGCTTTTGGCTTAACTTTGTGTTTTAATTTAATGTTTCAACCAATAAAACTCCTGGATCAGCTTTCATGCCAACCAGTACATTGTAGTTTGTGTCGGGAGTGAACCTGACTTCTGCGGAAGGGAAGGGCTGGGTGGTTGGACCCCGTGCTTCTCCTTTGCCGGATCTGAAGACGGGGTGACTTTGTACGTATGTTCTGTTTTTAACCACCCAGACAAAAGGGGCAGGTCCAGAAAGTGTCAGCTTGCCTACTTTCCTAGGACATTTTCCTCTGGTTTGACTCGCCCCATTGTCCCGAGGCTAGAGTCTGTACAGGTAGCACGTTCTTTCCAACAGAAACTTGAACCTGTCCAGTGGAAACTCTAACACAGGAACAGTGGGACCAGTGGGGTGGTGGCTGGATATTTGCATGTACATGTGCGTGTGTGCGTGAGAAAGGTGAGGACAAGAAAGGACGATTTAGAAAGAGCAGAGTGCAAGAATGGGTGGGACACCCTTCAATTTTGTGAGCCAGCCTCGGCTCCAGCAGTGACCTTGAAGGAGAGAACGATCACTTGTTCCTTTTAGCGTTCCAGAAACAGCTTCTGGCTTAAATCATCAGTGTTTCCCCCCTCTTCCCAACTGTGTCAGAAGTTTTAAAATTCCGCTTGCTGGGGTTACTGTGAAAGCACGATGACCCTGAGTATGGTCCTGGTCACAGAAAGAGGGGAGCACTGTACAAGCCGAGGGTTGATGTGTGTGATGGAAATGCTTTTGGAAATTGACAACTGATGTACACAGTAATCCATCAATTGCTTTAAATCAGGATTTCTCGAGCCTAGTAGCATTTTGCACTGGATAACCTTTTGTTGTGGGGGCTGTCTTGTGCAGTGTAGGATGTTTAGAAGCATTCATGGCCTCTCACCCAGTAGATGGCAGTCATGCCCTGTCCCCAGGTGTGACAACCCAGCACGTCTGGAGACATGGCCACATGTCCATTGAGGGGCTATGTTGCCCCTGGCTGAGAACCACTGCTTTAAACAGAAGGGAAATGAAACACTTGAAGACCTGTGCTTGCTCAGAGAAGGAAGGACCTCTTTCTGGAAGGAACTCACCTCGGATTCCCACATCCATCCTGTCCTTCATTTCTTGCCCCCCCCCCCCGAACTACAGCTGTTTTTTAAATTAATATGCGTGGTTAGCAAAGCCTGTCATTAGCGCAGGTCTAGTTAATGTCTTGGTTTATGTTTCTTTCACATAGAAATTATTTTCACTGGACACCTTTTTTTTTTTTTTTTCCATTGTGAAGCTCCGAATGTCCGAATGGAGCCGGTGACGGCCCTGGGCGTGCTCTCCCTCGTCCTCAACATCATGTGTGCCGCTCTGAACCTCGTCCGTGGCGTCCACCTGGCGGAGCACTCTTTGCAGGTAGCCTTCCCTTCGCGGTTCACGGGGGGCGGGGGGGGACCGTGGTATTCATAAGGCTGTTACGCACGAAGGTTTAAACATTCAAATAAAATTTTCATTTCTAATTTTATTCTTTGTAGTAAGTTGAGCAAATGTGAAACGTGCTCTTTTGTGTCTGTCTTTGTAAGAAGTCAGGGGGGCCTCTGGGATACGGGTGAGAGACGGACAGCTCGGGACAAGGAAGCCTGGCCACACGGCGGCCCGTGGGACCCCAGGGGCCACTGCAGGGGCTGGGTCGTTCACCCAGGGCAAAAGTTTGGGCTCTTTGTCCCTGGCACAGAGTTGTCTCAGGGTCCGATTTATATCACGCAGATGCCGATTCTGTGTGTGCTTGTCAAAAACGTTACTGGGAAGGTGTCTTTCCAGCCTCCTCCTCTCAAACCACCTTTCTGTGGCATCGTTTTTGAAATACTGATTTTGAATTTTGAAGTGTTTCAGACACTTTTAGAAAGTGTGGAACCATCATGAGCCTTAACAGATAGATTACTTTTAAAGATAGAGCCATACAGTGGATTGAGTGCCAGCCTGCGAACCAAATGGTCGCTGGTTCGATTCCCAGTCAGGGCACATTCCTGGGTTGCCAGCCAGGTCCCCAGTAGGGGGTGCGTGAGAGGCACCCACACATCAATGTTTCTCTCCCTCTCTATCTCCCTCCCTTCCTCTCTCTAAAAATAAATAAATAAAATCTCAAAAGTAAATGAATAGAGGCAGGGCTATAGTGCTCACCCATGTCCCTGGTGGCTCGAGTCCGAAGCGTGGCGGTGTTGCTGTCGGGGGACTGGCAGCCGGCCCGGGCGGTAGGAGCGGTGGCTGCCTGTCACCATTCCCCGTCCTTGCCCTCGTGTGGCGCAGTTCCCACTCCTCTTGTCTGTGATGACTCGCACCCTGTTCGTCACCGATGTCTCACACACTAGAACCGGTCCCGGCCAGCAGGATAGTTAAGACAAAGCTCCTGCCTTGGGGACACGAAGCAGAGTGTGGTGACACAGCTAAGGAGGTGGCCATACCCGGGGGTGGGAGGAATTAGGGAAAGCCTGGTATTGACGGATGAGTAAGATTTTGAGAGGCGGTGGGGTTTGGGGGGACGTTTCAGGCCGAGGGCTGCGCACAGATGTGTGGGGACAGGAGGGTGCGTGGTGCATCCAGGTCACCGAGAGCAGCTGCCTGTCAGCCCCTGTTCTGTGACCTCGCCAGGGACGTGCGTCTCTCCCGGCCAGGACTCTGTGCTGTCGGCCGCACTGGCTTCACGTCACAGTGGCTCCTCTCGTCTAAATGTTCCTCTTCTGTGCCCCTGTTTGTTGCAGGTCGCTCACGAGGAGATTGGAAACATTCTGGCTTTCCTTATTCCTTTCGTGGCCTGCATTTTCCAGGTGGGTGAAACGCTGGGATTTGGGTGCGTGGGGTAAACCCATGGCCTCACTTAGTTCTTCTGCGGGAAAACCATCAACACATCTTCTAGGTTCCGTTTTTGTTCCACCAAGGCCTCGGATCAAATCACAGACAGTGCCGGGCTCTCAGTGGAAGGACCCTAGGCCTACCCTGTCCAATCCTGCTCAGTCCTCTCGTCTAACAGAGAAAGAACTCTGGGCTCGGCAAGGGAAAGCCAGTTGCTCTGGGCCCGAGGGCCTTTCAGAGTGGCAGACAGAACCCAGGAATTTGGACTTGACCCCCAGAAAGGGAGGGATGAGAGAGCAGTGGGGATTGGGTTGGGTCTGACTAGAGTGAGGCTGGGTCTTGCCTCCTGCTTCTTGGTGTACAATCCAAGTACAGGATGTCCTTCTGCAGCCCCGGCTGCCGTGGCTCCGTTGGTTGGAGCCTTGTCCCACAGACCGAAAGGTGGCGGGTTTGATTCCTGGTCAGGGTATGTACCCAGGTTGCAGGTTCGATTCCCAGTCGGGACACGTATAACAAGGCAACCAATCAATGTTTCTCTCTCTCACAGCGATATTTCTCTTTCTTTCTGTCTCTCTTCCTCCTCTTCCTCCTTTTCTCTCTCTCGCTAAAAGTGATGAAAACTGTCCTTGGGTGAGGGTAAAAAAAAGAAATGTCCTTCTGCAGAAGTCTTATCTTTGTTTGCGTATGTGTTTTTAAAACACAGGGCTAGGTAAAAAAAAATTTTCTCTTTTTTTTCTTTAAGATTGTATTTATTCTTAGAGACAGAGAAGGGGGGAGGGAAAGAGAGGGAGAGAAACACTGATCAGTTGCCGCTTGTACACGCCCCAACTGGGGACGGAACCCGCAAGCCTGGGTGATGCCCAACCCGCTGAACTACACTGGTCAGGGCCCGTTCGTAATAGTAACACTACCTGACTCAGATCTGTCCTCGGGAAATGAAACACAAGTTATAACATTGACGAAAGAGCTTTGCATATTTAGTTGTTTTGGGATGAGCTGCATACATGAGGGGTGGAGTTAAAAGGAGTTTTGAATCTCCTGTAGGCAGCGTGAATTCCAGGAAAAGCCTGGCTGTAACTCTCTTTCCTTGTCCTCCACTGGGCTAGGATTTTAGCTCTTTCTCTTCGTGCTTAAGCTTTTAAATTTTTTTTAATTAACATTTTTGTTCTTACGGCACTTCCTCTCTCACATACGTCCTAAAACATTCTATTTTTAAGAATTAGATGATCGTGCAAAAAAAGACATTTTGACCCCAAAATTGAAAATGCACTCACGTTTTAGAAGCCCATCTCTGGGGCCTTGGGTGTTGCCAGCGGGAGTCTCCGGTGGCGGCGTCTCGTCAGCTTCGTGCCTGCTCGTTAGCTCTTTCGATGGGGACCGCACTCCCTCCCAGCGTCGCAGAGCCTCTGTCAGGTTGCTCTCTTTTGAGAATGTACTTTTCTAAAAACAAAAACAAAAGCAGAGAGCCAAAAAGCTACTTTCACCTTTCTCTGAACAAGAATGGCCTCTTTTCCATGCGGTAGCCCCACAGGAAACATCAGTCACCGTCCCTTGCTCTGTCTCAGCGGTGCTTCGGAAGAGAGCACAGGGGGAGGACCCGGGAACCGTGGTCCCCGGTGTAACTGTCGCTCAGGAAAAGCCGAAGGAGGGAGAGCTCGGCTCCTCCCCCTGGCCGTCTCCCCTGTCCTGACCCCTGTGCACCTGACCCCTGACTTACCCGGAGGCCAGTCGGCCTTGCCGGGGTGTCCTGGCCTGGCTATCTGCCCCCTGCACCCCTCTCTCCCCTCTCTGCAGCGCAGAGACCTCAGCCTGGGCACTGCCATCTGTGTTTCCTAGACTTCCTTCAGGAGCGCAGTGCTCTAACTCCTCCTGTGATATCTGTGTCCCACTTCCTCTCTCTTCCGAGCCTTCCCTTCCGTCCAGGGGTTAGCGGGAACTTACCCGGAGAGCCCCAGCCTCACGGCAACACACCGGGCGCAGTAAGCTAGTGCAAGCACGTCTTGCGTCTGACCTGTGGCCGTTCTGCCGCCCCTGACGGGACTTCCCCTCCCGCTGTCGTTGCAGTGCTATCTGTACCTGTTCTACAGCCCGGCCAGGAGGGCGAAGGTGGCGCTGATGCTGCTCTTCATCTGCCTGGGCAACGTGTACCTGCACGGGCTGCGGAACCTCTGGCAGATCCTCTTCCACATAGGGGTGGCTTCTCTGTCGTCACACCAGATACTGACGAGGCAGCTGCGGGAGAAGCAGTCGGACTGTGGAGTGTGAGGCAGGGACCCGTCGACGTTCACACGAGGGTCGTCTGTCTGTCCCTCTCGGCTTCTCCGCTCGACCTCAGGTTTCCGTCCTTGGCGCTCATTTCGACCAAACCGGACTGACGGCGAGACTTGGGGCGTCTGCCTGCAGGTGCGGCTGGAGGCGTGAGGCCGCGCGGTGCCCAGGCCGGGCGTCGCGCCGCGCGCCCCCACATGCTCTCCGGTCCGGCACGCTTACTCGGACCGCGGGTGCCAGGGGCTCAATTCAGAGAGCGTTATTGGAAGATCAGAATGGGATTATTTTGGTCTTTTAAACTGAATGATGCAATAAACCACTAGATTCAACGATGCTAGCGTTAGTAATTGGCAGTCCTCTCTGCGGAACCCCTTGGAAATCCATACCAGTCAAAATGTGGCCTGGTTTGTTTTTCAGAGGGTCGATCCAGGGTGACTTAAAAACTTAAAAATATGGTTCGTGGATATGAGCAAGATAAATTTTGTTTACAGCTTTTTGATAACTTAGGTCCAATATGATACCTTTAGGATAGTTCGATATATTTTAGGTATAACTTGACTTGTCTTCATCTAGGGTAAGGATGGACATAAGCTGAGAAAATGGTTAAGAAAGCTCAATTTACGTAATTTATATGTAACTTTTTATAGTGGTGGGACTGTGTGGGTATGGAAATGTTTTGTATTTATCTACAGGGTATAACTGAATATTTTATGAATTGATTGAGCAGCCAGTACTACTGGATTGTAAACTTATAAGCATGAGCAGAAGTGAGCATTTCGGGACTCCTTGCAGTGGGTCACAAACTGGAGTGGGTGAGTCACACAGCTTCACACAGTGGCACTTTACAGACGCAGGTGGCAGAGGGTGGCGTCCTCAGCCTTGCACGTGGCAGCCGAGTGCCTGTCCGTTCAGCGATGAGGAATGCTGGACCCTGTGCACCTGTCCCCAGAAGACCTCCCAACTGAATGACCCCTCTGCCCTTTTCCCAGTCCTCTGAATTAGAACAAGGGCCTCAGTTTTTGTGAGCAAGAGTTAAGTAGGTGTTAACTTTTTAAAGGCTTTATAAATACAGAATCAACCCCGTGCTCTGAGAAGTTACTTTTCTTCCTCGCATTGTCAAAATATCGATTGACCGTCGTCGTCCAGAACGGGGCTTTGAATCCGACCCCTTAGGCTGTCCAGTCCCATTTGGGGCCCAGTCCGGGTTCCTGCCCTCGGCTCGCTCTCGGTAGAAGTCTGGGATCTGAGTGGCTCAGCTGCAGTGGCGTGGAGTGCTTCGAGTTGAACTGTGTCGTCTCGGTAAATTAAAGAGTGCTGTTTTGATGGTGTTTAAAGGTTGGAGACCATTGCACAAGATACTGAGCACACGGGGAGAGCGAGACTGCTGTTCTGGGGAGTGCCGTTGCACTTGGTTACCGCTGGTGGTCATGGTGACCGAGCTGCCTTGCTGTCCCTTTAAGAAAGACCAGTTTGCGTGACTGTTGGGGAAATGTTGCCAGAGTGATTTTATTTTCCTATGGTTTTTTATTTTTAACCAAATGAAACACCTGGATATGAAAGTCCTATTGGCAACACCCTCAGACAGAAGCTCCGCAGTTGTCCCTCCACTGAGTGTGGGTCTGCATGGTCTCCTGCATAGCCCGCGAGGGAAACCTTCAGGCCTTCTGGGAGATAACCCTGAAGAGATGGTGGAACAGAGTGGGAAGCCAGGGACGCAAGACAAGTCCTCTTATGGTAGAAGCACACAAAAAAAAGCTGTAAAAGTTGGTCGGGACAGCGCACGAATGACTGGCTTCCTGCTCCTGGAGCCCGCGTGCCGGTGGTGTTGCCGCGTGGCCCGGACCCCAGCTGCTGTGGGCGTCTGGGCTGTGCCCCCCGTGCAGCAGGCAGTCCGGGCAGTGCTCGCGGCGCACCCCCTCCCGGGAAGGCTGCCTGCTCTAGCAGTCGGGGGGGATGTGGGCTTCGGCAGTTGACTTCTGCTTGGGCGCTGAGACTTACTCCTGCCAGTTAAAGGGGAGAGAGACAGCAGACAAGCAGTCCGGAATAGCGGCCGCATAAGCACTGTTTAGGCACAGTTCGCTGGAGGAAGAAACTACCAGTAAGGAAGAAGGTCTGGAGATTTCATCCTAGGGAAGACCCAGGCCCGGGGTCTGCCCGGTCCAGGCCTGGGGTTCTGAGGCCCCCTGGGTCATGCTCGATGCCAGAAAGCTGGCCGCACGTGGCCCTGGCTGTTCTCACTCCACCGCCGACTCAGTGATGTGCCTGCGCCTCTTTTCCCGGTGGGTCCAGTGCCGCCCGCCCTCCCCACCTCACAGGACAAGACCTGGGAACAGATGAAATAACGTTGGAAACAAAACCTCAGAAGTGCCTTCTGCGACTAGAAGTGCCAAGTCCTGGAACATCAGAGTGTGTGGTGCCCCACGGACGGGATCAGGCAGGAACGTGGCTTTGTGCTCCAGAACAGGGCTTCCCCCCACGACCCACGCAGGCCTGGAAGGAAGCCTGGGGCGTCTGGTCTCCTTCTCCCCAGGCCAGCCCCACCGTGCAGAGGACCGCGCCTGGGTGTCTTTCTCCTGGGTGGACAGAGTCGGGCATGTGTGGGGTGGTCGTCCCTGCGGTCCCGGAGGGCCTGCGGCAGGAGGGGCGTGGCTGTCGCCCCTGGTCTGGCTCCCCACGCCCGCACTTCTGTGACTGGGAGCGCTGTTGACAGGTGTTGTGAATCGAGGCCAACAGTTGAAAGATCTCTGAGAGGTGGGGAAAGGGGGTTTGGAGGAGTGCTCAGGTGAAAGCATGCAATCCCCATTTCTGTCGACCTCGCCTTGAGCTCCCTGCTCTTCCCCTAGACGCCATTCTCCAAGTCTCCCCCGCCTCTGCCCCCCACACTGCAGTCCTGGCCGCAGAGGCTGCCACTGGGCTCTGCAGGGGCGGGAAAGCCACCTTTAATTATATAGATTGGGTGGGTACAGGAGCTCCGGAGAGGTGGCAGCTTGCCCGGGGGCCCAGCTCTTGCCCTGTGAGCCCCAAGGAGCCTCAGCACCCTCCCGGGGTCGGGTCTCGGAGGGAAGCAGCACTCTGGTGGGCAGAGCTTTCCAGTTAGAGACGACAGGCAGCCAGGCCGGTTGTTTGGGGGTGTGGGAAGCAGGGATGTGGGGGAGCCGAGCTGGGGGCTGTCTGCTGGAAGACAGCAGCTAGCCGCTGCCCCTTGGCAAGTGGGGACTGCAGGCTGTCCCTCCATCTGGGGCTGTGAAGGAGTCAGCCATGTGTTGTGACACGCAGGACAGGTGGCCCCCTGAGAGCCTGCTGCTTGCTCGGCTCCCCAGGCGAGGCCCGAGGACCGGCGTCCGGGTGTGCGCCCCTGCTCTGGTGCTTTCAGCCCCATGGTTCCTGCACGAGCCCTGCCCTGGTGCGGGGAAGCTGCACCTGTGCACGGTGAGCATTGCCGACGGTGGAGGGAGAGAAAGCAGATGTGCCCTCGAGAGAGGAGGCCGGGGAAGGAGCGTGCTGGTCAGCCGGCCGGAGGGTCTGGCTTGGCTCGATGCTCAGCCCGGCACCACAGTGGACAAGGCCTTGTCTGTCAGCCCCAGTGTCCTCATCGGGGAAATGGTGTCAACACCAGCCTGCCCACCCCCACTCCCCGCACGCAGTCCTGAGGACAGACACCTAGTGGAGGGGAGTGCTGGGTGAACCCACTGGGCGTGTGCGGGAGGAAGGCTTTGAGTTCACCAGCTACGTAGGGGTTCTTCTGCCTGCCTCAGGCAGCACAGCACGGCCGAGTCTTCCAGCCCTTCCAAAACGGGCGTTTTATGGTGCTGCGGTGTGAATGGCCTCGTTCTGTCCCCCAGAACCTGCCCCCCAGACCTGCCTTCCAGGCACAGAGCCCCCGGTTCCATGGTACTGAGTCCCCCAGGGTCCGGGGAGGCCAGTTCTGCTGGTTGTGGTTGCGGCCTGCCGTAGGGAGCCGGGGACCACACCTCGAGGTCTGTCCCCAAAGGAGGAGAGTTCTACTTCTCCCCCCTGGGAGCAGTGATGTCAGACTTCCGTTGCTGGGGCAACGTCATTGGCAGGGAACCTGTGGAAACGGGCTTGTCAGTACCATCTGGGAACGGCCGGATGCGGAAACATCTGGTCGTGTGTACCGAGGACGGAGCTGTCGCCCACAAGCACCTTGTATTTCGGGAGAGTTTACCAAATCCATTCCACTCCTCGAACCCGTGCTGGGTGCGGGGGACCTTCCTTAACCTCCGTGCCTGTGTGATCCGGGGCTCACTTCGGAAGCCGTAGTTAAGGAGCTACTCATATGACGCCCAGGGTTCTGTTTTGTTTAATGGACTTTTCTACTAAGAGCATAAAAGATTGAGGCTGATTCAGCCGGTGCAACCACTTCCCGCACCCCTTTTTGAATGCTCGCTGTCCGTGTTATCCATGCGTCCTGCTGTGTTCGTGTCGTAGCGAAGATCTGTTTTGAGGAAACCATGGGTCCCTCTGAACAAACTTCCACACAGCAGCGAAGCCTACAGTTATGTGTTCATGTATGCGAAGAATGTCGTGTGGCCGTTTACATACTGTGTATACGGACGTTAAGCAAGGTGGCTTCAGGGGTGGTAGGATAAATAAATCTAAGGTGCTGATGAACTTGTGTGTTCGTGTCTGTGTGGAGCACTCGGAGCTGTGGGTCCGCTGTCCTGGGCCTGGCGCAGTGGAGGGCAGCGTGCTGTGGGGAGTAGAATTCGGGTCGTCCTGTCTGGTGAGCCCTAGACCTGTGCGAGGACTCCAGGGGTCTTCGGCACTGAGCCCCGGACTCTGAAATGCAGTCACGGGTCCAGGGAAGACCTTGGAGAAACCAAAAGAGCAGCTGCTGTGCTGCCCTGGGGGCTGGGAGGCCTGCCTTCCCTGCAGGCTCCGTCCCCGTGCCCTGTCCCTGCGCCCCCCAGGTGTCCCAGGGCAGGCGCTGTCCCTGCTCCGGGCTCTGGGCTCCCATCCACTCGGAGGATGACAAGCGTTTTCTCCCAGGAGCCCCATCCCGAGACGGCCGCCAGGAGGCGCAGCTGCCAGCGCCACAGCATCCGGACCGGGGAGCCCTTTTGCAGAGGTCGGTGCTGTGGCAGCTGATCAAATTCCCAGAAAGGAAGCCGGTGTGCACCCACCTCTCCTGATCGTGCTGCACACACATCGGCAAATGCACGCCCCGAGCCTCTCTCCGCCATCTGTCCTGCACGAAATCTCCTGGAGGAGGGCAGAGACTTCCAAAATAAACGTCTGAGTGACTGAGCTCTGGGCTGCGGCGGTTGGCAGAGTCCTTAAGATACCATCTGGTATTCAGCCCCTTCGT